CTCAGTTGCAAGCTTCGAGTGAACAGACTATAGTTGCCTTTAATATACAAAGATATTTTAAATAAGATCTGTCTCCATAAACACATATATCCTGGCTAGGCTGCAGTTCCTCTGAATGTGCCTCACAGTTTGACTATGTTTAGAGCCATGAAATCACTACTATGAAGGATCACAACATGAGTCAAGCAGCATTAAGGCCTGCTGTTACTTTATAATCTTGTATGATAAGAATTACATGAAAATCACTAGAAAAATAAAGACAATCAGTACAGGTACCTAAATTTGTCCCATCACCCTCAAAAGGTTCAAATGTCCATTATGAACTCTTTAAAAGTCTTCAGCAACAAACCCAGACAATATTCCATCATTCATCTAAAATACTTGGGGTCAATTGGTTCTAAATACTCTCACTGAAATAATCTGGTTAAATAACACAACACCATACACAATGGATAGTGTGATTATTATCCTAATACTGTACTTCAGTAGTGCTAAACAAACCTCAAAATAATCCACCCTCGGACAGATCCATATCATTACACACCGCATAAGACCATGGAATGATTACTCAACAAACCCACTAAACTGCACATCCCACTTGTTCCCTGTAACTTGTTCCCTACATTTGCAATAACATGAATGCCCTCACAACAATTCTGACAGCAATAAAGCCATCAACACTCCCACACCATGCGCTCATCAACAAACCATACTGCACAAAAAACATTAAACACATCTTGCAAATTTCCTCTCAAGTAGCCATGCATCCAGCACCAAACATTTTCCAACAATATTCTCTAAAGATACCAAAATCCAACTCACATCAAATGTGCTCCAACATCCTACAGTACATAATACAGAACAAAGACTACACCAACACTGCATGACAGCATCTTCTTCCACAGCTACAATAACACTTTTTTGTAAATGACACCTCCACACAATGACAAAGCACTTCCCACACAGACCCACCTTGACATGAGAGGTACTTAATTCCTAGCATCAGCCCAGCAATACAACCACCCTTTCAACTACAGTTCAGCCACTCTCCCTCTCAGACACAAAAAAGGAACAGTACTACTGTACACACATATCCCGAACAACCTGCCACCCCTCCCCCAACACCCATAAACATATAACATCTGCCTCAATCAACAAACTATAAACAAATCCCATTTTTAAAGCTCCAGCACAACTCTCACAATCCACTTACCACACAAATAAGAATTCATTTATGGAACTGATGCACACAAAATCCCTTCACACACCAAATCCAAAACACACCAAATCCTCTCTGTACAAACTGTTATGCAAACCCACACACCACAACCATCTTAGAGTTTCCTTCTCATCCATAACACAATACACACAACTTAATCAATCTAACCTTCATATGAGATCTCTAGGAAAGACTGGTAAAGTTGCTGACTTCCTGGAGGCTGCCAGGTTCAAGAAGAATTCATCTGGGGCAAAGCAACAACCCCATCAAACCTTAGGTGAATAACATCTGACAAAACACTTCCCGTGTTCAACTCTGTGGTGGGTTGGAAAATAAAGAGAATAAGTAATTGTCAGTGACGATGAGTGCCGTTAAGTCACCATCCCAAAAGGGTCAGCAACGACTGCATATTTTACACCAAAAAAAGGACATGATTTTTTATGGGTGGTTTTACATAAAGTACATTGATTTAGTGAGGATAGAAAGAAATTGGTGACTGAAGTAATGATGAGTGAAAGTTAACTGGATGTCCTAGCACAGAAAAACAAAGTGGAAGGACAAAACAGAAGACTGCTGGGTACATGTGAGTGGCATATAGTCAGGAGTCTCTGAAAGGGTAAGAGCAAATGAGGGTATTGGGGGTCAGTTTCTAGCACAGAAAAACAAAAGGGAAGGACAAAACAGAAGACTGCTGGGTACATGTGAGTGGCATATAGTCAGGAGTCTCTGAAAGGGTAAGAGCAAATGAGGGTATTGGGGGTCAGTTTCAAAATATTATGGATCAGACTAAAGGTGGAGTATGAGAGAGACAAAGCTATTGTAAGTGCATATATATCTCGTGGAATGAAAAAGAGAGAAGGAACCAGATACCAGGTATGTTTTCAGAAGAACCGAACAACTGCACTAAAAGACACAATAAGACAGGGATGAGTGGATAATAAGACATTAATACAATTTTGGGTAAATGTATAGAAATGGGAGGAAACAGAAATAAGGAAACACGGTTAGAAATGTACATTGAGAGAGGATTGACAATAGGGAATCCATGAGTTTACTGGAGGCACGACAAGTGAGAAGAGGAAGGGTTATTAGAAAATGTACCGGCAAACGGAAACGGAAGATAACGGATGTAAACATACTAAGAAGAGATGCACACCATACTAGAGTTTGAGTAGAGAAAGTAGCAAATGGATCGGTGAGGGAAAACAAGTCAAGGAAATGAGAAAGGTTATTACAGTTGACAAGCTGATAAAAATATGGCTGAATGATTTAAAAAGTACTGAAACATGTGGTTCCAAATAAATACAAGTGTAGTAAGAAGGAGTGAAGAGTAGTGTAGTTTAATGGTGTAATTCTTAGATAGTAAAGAGTGATGAAAGAAAGACATCCAAGGATAGTGAAGAGAAAGGAAGCAATAGGAGTACAAATGCTAAAGATAAGTAGGTAAAGGTTGGAGAGAGAGAGAGAGAGACACTCACAAGGTTTTAAGGAGAATAAAAAGTTGCTTTAGAGGAACTCAATAATGTGAGAAATCCAAAGAGAAAAAATTAAAATGATAATTGAGAATATATGATAGACAGAGAGGCAGTAAAAGGGGGTCCGACTAATTACCCAAAATACCCAAATGTACGAGTCAAATAATGGTCCTACATGAATAAATCGGACTGCCAATCACTTCTCGACTAGTATTTGGTGTCACAAAGTAAAAAAAAATTGGAAAACGTAATTTAATCTGAGTTAATTGATCGCGTGCATGTACCGAGGGAGCGAGTAATTACCCAAATGTAGCCGCAATGAAGTCAAATGATGGTCCTACAAGAATAAATCGGACTGCCAATCACTTCTCGACTGGTATTTGGTGTCACGAAGTCACAAAAAATTGGTAAACTTAATTTAATCTGAGTTAATAGATCGAGTGCATGTACCTAACCCAACCTAACACAACTCCGATTAAATTAAGTTTATCAATTTTTTGTGACTTTATGACACCAAATAATAATCAAGAAGTGATTCACAGCCCGATTTATGCTTGTAGGACCATCATTTGACTTCACTGCGACTACATTTGGGTAATTACTCGCTCCCTCGGTACATGCACGCGATCTATTAACCCAGATTAAAGTAAGTTTTCCAATTGTTTGTGACTTTGTGACACCAAATACTAGTCTAGAAGTGATTGGCAGTCCAATTTATTCATGTAGGACCATTATTTGACTTCATTGCGGCTACATTTGGCTACATTTGGGTAATTAGTCGGACCGGTAAAAGGGAGATATGGTAAAAACTTAGAACACTTTAATGTAACAAATGAGAGAGAGAGAGCTATTCTGCTTGGGATATGAGGAACTGAAAATCATTAAAGTGACAGAACAAAATACAAAATTCCCAACAACCTATAAACTGTAAGCTAAAGAGTAATATTAATACTAATAATGTATGGAGCTAGATGAACAAGTATAATGCAGTACATTCAATAATTAAATGTTCCTTTGTATGCCATTCAAGCATCACAGAAATAAGACAAAATTCCATCAACAATTAAAGACAAGCTGTAAGACAGATCTTTAAAATATTTATAAGATATGAAAATTGTTCTCTATTTATGTACAATACAATACAATAAAACTCTTATTATAAAGAAGATTTAGTCACATCTATTCTCCTTTAAATGTGGGACAACAATACACCCACCATGCAGGGTAAGGTATTCATTATAAGTACTGTACTGTTATCTAAATTCTTTACATATGGTGCTTATGAAGATTCACAAATTGAAAACAAAGATACTGTATTAGACAAACAAATAACTGGGTAAACTCTTTTTTTTAAGTTTATAAACAAAACTCATTTAATGTATCTAAGAATTTACTACTGGTACAGCAACATAAAAAAATACATCTTACATAACAAATACAATACATGAATTAATGACAAGACCTTTAATATACATCTGTCGTGTGTATGTCACCTGCATCTGTCTATCATCATACGACATACTGAAAACATTGTTACGGGTATCTCTGTATATGAGTGTAACTTATAAATTAATTTCAAGCATACAAGAGAGTATGGCAGAACAATACATGTCCCCTACAGATCACAGCTATACAATGCAGCATGGCAGGTCTGGTCAATCTTCCCAGACCAATAATCTGTCATTTTGATTCTTATTAAACCAGTAGCCAACAGTCCTCTTCAAATTTCAAAATACTGTTTGGTTGTAAAGGAAAATTTGTTGCTTTATATAAACAAAACTTTTAGATGAAAGTCTTTCACTGTGCCAACCAGATATTACCTTTGATTACCACACATGTACCATCCCCAGACATTTCTCTGAAATAGTGTAATATATCAGAATATTACCTCTGCCATTTTTGTGTAATATATCAGAATATTACCTCTGCCATTTTTATTTTATGTGTACAGTATTATTCCATTAAAGTTTATTCAATTTTCAACAAATTGGGAATCATCACGCAAAAAAAATGGACAGAGCAACTGATAATACAGACAGACAGATAGAGAAGCAGTCCTATGATCCCCTTCTGTGAAACAAGTTGGGGATAATAAAGAGAAATATTCTTAAGCAAGAAACTATGAATGTTGGAGTTACTGTAGTGTATTGTGTACAGTATGAAGCTTGAGAACATTGCAATATTTGTACAGAAAGCAATATACAAATTGCAGGTGTTTTCTTTTGTTATAACAAAAACAGTTATAATGCAAGACAGATTTTCCTCTTTTACATTATTACAGCAGCTTTTCTTGTAGTAGGTAGGGCTACTTGGATCAAAGTAAAAAAAAAACTACTGTACTGTGTGAAGATTCAACTCAACATGTACAACTAAACTGGGGAAAGACACAAAAAATGAAAATTAAGTACAGTACCTGTACAGCTGGAAGATACCTGCACGCAACCTTGTAAGAATACATCATGATAATTTCTTCATAAAATGGAACATAACCCCAAACCTTGTAAAGCATTCATTGCAAACTACGTACAGTATACTGTATACATTTAGCCAAAATCCTGTTAAACTTAAAAGATACTAAAAGAAGCAGCTGTCAATCACAACCAGACAGCTTCCCTATTGACAAGCCTAATGAGACTTATGTACAACCTAGATTAGCGTTACTCCTCAAACCATTCATTGTACTGTAATGAACTCAATGCTCTGGACAGTCATTGTACAGGGTCATTATTTATTCAAAAACCTAAAATGATTACTGTACTATATTTTAGGAAATGCAATAAACATGAACCTAAAATGATGTGATCAGACTTTATTTCTACTGAATTTTAAGGCCCTGTTTATTACACTTTCTAAAATATAGTAATCATTTAGTTTAAAACTTCAGACTAGCTTAAAACAAAAAATATTCTTGAAAATTGGTTGAGATAATTACAAAATCTTATATGGTAATCCATGTACTACAAACATATAAATTTCTTCAATATTTCACAACTTCACACATACCAGATTTTCCTCTCTCTTTTTGTGATAACTTGGGTGGGACGGAAGTATGTATGGAAGGCATGACAAGATGCAAATCATTATACTGTACCGTACTCGCTTGTACTGTATATATAGTGGGGACATAAACAAAACACTGGGGTTATATTTCTGACACAACCTCATACACTTCACTTAGCTTGTAAACCTTGTAGAATAATCCAAGGAATTCTATAAAGATGATTGAGAAAAATTTCATAACATGGGAATGTGGAAGGTTACAATTTCCATAAGTCACAGGAAGTCCAGCTTAGACAGGGATCTGTTACATTTTCATTCTGAAATACAGTTTACATTCTGACACAAACTGTGATAATAAAATCTAAAAAATATTTGGTTTCACAATCATAATGACTCTAGCTAATGGTCACCTTGCTCTGAAATGATGTAACCTGGTGAGGATTTCCCAAACAATTAAGTCAATTAGTGACGAGGTGTTCTTTACCAACACTATCAATGATCAACCAGAAGAAAGGTCAGCACACTGACCTAACGGCTGGAGAGTCACCATAACGTGTGACAGGCGTTATCAAAGCTGCTTGGAATAAACATTTCCTCTACCATTGTGGGTTTTTCTCATATGTTGATATAACTTCTTAGCCTATATTACCAAAGACCTAACATGATATATTTTGGTATGTGTGTCCAACCAAAGAATTCATGATGATGGTTCTGGTATAGAATCAACTACAGTAGGTTTGGCATACGTATGCAAGTATGATGCTTCTGACACTACTCCAGGTTACACACAATTTCTATCCTTGGATGCCTTTTCCCCTTTGTTGCCCTTTTAATTCTCAATTTCAGAGCATTCATTAGTAAAATTATCATGTGTTCCAGTTCCACAGGACTCATGGGTTCATCTAGATTGTATCTCAGCTGAAAATTGTCAGGGACCCAGAACTGTGCATTCCCAAGTGCTCTATACATATATGTACCTGTACTGCATATACACAGTACTGTATAATATACTGCATAAATGTATACAACATATTTATATAGCACAAGGTTAGAATTGGAATAAATTAACAATAACTACAATATATAAGAATACAGCAGCAATATAACATACTTGGTTACTTAGTGTTAATCAAAAGTTAACTCTTTACCTAGAACACATAACATGAAATGATAACACAGAAAATAAGACAAATAAATATTTTACCTAATTTGATTTAAGAACATAAGAACATAAGAATGGAGGAAACTGCAGCGGGCCTATTGGCCCATAATGGGCAGTCCCGTTTATGCCCAACCCCTATCACTCATATATCCATCCAACCTATGTTTGAAGCTATCCGGCATATTCGATTTAATGATGTTTAGTAACTTGTTCCAGTCATCCACTACTCTATTTCCAAACCAATGTTTACCTATCCCACGCCTAAATCTAAATTTGTCAAATTTAACACCATTGCTACGAGTTTGCTCCTAGTTGGACAGTTCAGTGTGAGTAATTTAATATGACCCTACATCAGTATTTTCCTTCCAAGACATTAGGATTCTGTTTCATGATTTTGACACACATATATATGGTAGAAACTGAAGTGCTTATGGTATACCTACAGGGGGGAGGGGGATTATGTCCAATTTCATTGACTTCACACTGTTGATACCACATATTTCAATTATGTACAGTCACTCAAAAGACTATCTGTATTTGGGGGGAGTCGATGAATTTCAGAATGAACACTATGACTCCTGCTGTCTTGTTAGGCCTACAGTAAATCTGATTAGACCACTGTATAGTATTTGTTGAGCGAGTGATGTTCTTTTCATGAGATTTTTTATGTAATTTTACCCATTACTTAAGAGGTGTACTTACATAATTTTACCCATTACCCTCTAGTATCCCCATTAAAGATACTCTACAAAAAAGTTCACATAAATGAGTGTAGGTAGTGAGGAGCAACACGCTAATGCTATACATATGAAGGCAGGCAGTCTTAAATTCGCTGGACACGTACTGTCATGGCTGACGGAAGAGACGAGCAGGTCGCTTACTAAAATGACGGAATTGGGTGGTGGATACAGCAGACACAGCATGTAGCCCAGGGTACTGCTGGAGGACTGTTGTTGGATTTGGAGCTGTCTAGCAGCAGTGAATGTGAAGAAGAAGGGCCATTTAAAGTTGTTAATAGCAAAAAGAAGAATAAAAGGAGGAATAGAGATGGCACAAGCAGTGGAGATAATATTTCCCACTTGGTGGATAAGCGAAAGAAAATTGATGGTGTGAGTCATTCTTCAACTATGATCAGTACAACGAGTGTAAACCCCATTGATGGTTTAGATGGCAGCAACTCATCAAGGAGGCCACGCCTTTACTTCCCCAAGAATAATGGCATGGATTTTCATGATAAGGTAAAGTGGTCAGTTAGACTCGCTAAGCGCCATCAAGGGTATCAAGTGCTCTTTAAAGAAGGTAAACATATTCCTTATATTACTGTGAAGGATGAGGAAGCTGTTAGATATCTAACTACAGAAGGTTTTGAGAATGTAGTGATGGAAAAGCCTGTGGAGTCCATTGTACGAAGATCATTCATTTTGATTATCCTGTTTACCTTGACCCCGAGGATGTGTTGGCTGACGATAGATTTTTTTGGGCCAAGAGACGTGTAATTAAATTTGATGGAGAACTAGTACCTAAGCCGCAGCTAATTGCGCTAATCAAAGGTCCACCGCCAGAGAAGGTTTTTGTGAGATGTGTGGGATATAAACGGGTTGCTGTCTACAATGAATCTCCAGTAATATGCTATAAGCGTTGCAAGTGGGGGCACATGGCGTGGAAATGCCATAATGATTTTCGGTGTAGATTCTGTGGAAAAATGCATGAATCTAAGGTATGTGGAGATAAAATTAAGGCAAAGGAGAAAATTACACCAAAATGCTGTAATTGTGGGGGGGTTCACAATGCCAGCTTGTGGGTGTGTCCTAAAAAACCGAAAGTTCAGCAATTGCAATCACGAGCTCAGTCCACTAATCAAGAGGATAAAGGTGACGCTGTAAGGAGTGATGTTGCAGGGACACCAAGTGCTGTAAATGTGTGGGAAAAGCGTATGGAAATACGTAATGCAGCAGCACAGAAGGACATAGGTAATGGGGACAATAACCATATAGCCCCTAACATTCTAGTGGAACTCTGTAAGGAGATTGATGAGCTCAAACAAGCAGTATTGGATATCAAGAAATGCTTGGTGAATCTTGTGCCATATAGTGATGTTGCTCTTGTTAATAAAGATAGTTCAAAAGAAAATGAAACATTAGTAGAGATGGAATCAAATATTGTGGATAGCAATCTAGAGCAAAATAGTTATCATAGTCAGATAGGAAATAGAGTTGGTTTGGTTTCTAAAGAGAATGTAGTAAACAAGGAAATGCTTGGTGACCTGACAAACATTCTTGACTCTGTTTTGGAATATATGGAAAATCCAAGGGACGACGTCAAAAAGAATGTTCTTATTTCGGTGAAGAATATGAGAAGGAAAATTTATTCTCATGGATCATAATGTCAGCTTAATTTCCTGGAATGTTAATAGTTGAAAAAAAGGTTAACGGATCTTCATACATATGTTCATTCTAGTAGTATTGATGTCATAGCTTTGCAAGAGGTTGGGACAAATGGAATATCTTTGCAACTAAGAGGTTATCAAAGTTTTGAATTACCAGCTGATTTGACTGTAAATTGTAGAGGTTTGATGACTTATATTAAAGATGATATTCCAGCATCTTTTCATTCCGCTCTAAAAATAAACGGTACCGAGTATTTGTGTGTTAGTATTACGCTTCAAGATGCTGCACTGTTCATTCATTATTAATGCTTATGTGCATGCTGATTCATTGACAGTTGATGATCTGCCGGATATTATTTTTGCTGATGATTGTTTACTAATTGGTGATTTGAACGCTAGGCACATCAATCTTGACAGTAGAGGTTCTCAAAATCACAATGGAATGGTTCTGAAAATATCTTACTCTATAGAACAGAGGTAAATTACCCCAAATGGGGTAAATCTAAAATTTTTGGGGGTAATGCATGCGGTATGAGAGACACTTCTATCAGAGCCTCAGTTTACTCCGCATTGTTAAAAAACGTTTTCTTTGGCATGGTGAGTGACGTCACTAAAGTTTCTAGAGGTCGTCAGATATCACGTTTGTTTCCATCTCATGGTGTAATTGTAAGTTACCCTTCCGTCGAGTGTAAACACATCTGACTGGATCCTACTCTAGCAGTTGATTTGTGTTGATTTCTGAAAAACGGCTTATTTCTGGGATGAACCGTAAGTTTTACTGAACAAGATGTAAAACCATGTATCTGAAATAAGAAGTTATTGATTTTCGAAAGATTACTGTAAAGAGCGGTACAAAATGTTCCTAAAACATCAGGTAAAAGATGATCGTATGTCATTATGTGTGACCTTGAGGATGAAATAATTTTCTCAATCATTCCTTCAGTTCCTGTCGTGAATTTCACAATATTCAGAAATTTTTTTTATGTACTCTATTATAAACAGCTATATAAAACTAGTGATTTATCTTCCCAGACTTAGTATCTTGTATATATAAAATCAGGAAACTATTTTTAAAATGATTATTTCCAGTATAATCCAAACAAATTTTAGCTGCCGTGTATATAGTGGAGTTACCCCTTGAACTATTTTTTACGATGGGGAACAATTATAAATTAGGAGTCGGTATTGAAATTCTCATTACATTAAGAAAATAAAACTAAATAAATAACAATTACATCCCAGAAAACTGGGATTCAAAAAGGTGGGGAAATTTCGCAGTTACGGCTTTTCATAAGGAGTGATAGGAAGTGGACCTGTTGTGTTATAATTATATCTTTTCTGCTTTATTCAGTCATATCTACAGAAGAGTAAGAGTACACTAGTACAGTATAATACTACAGAAACATAAGTCAAACGAAATATTGACAGGTGTGTACACATATGTCTAATTTTTTTTTTCAGATGGCATCAATGAGGAAAAGGACATACCAGGCAGAGTTCCTCAATTATGGCTTCACAGAAATAGAGAACAAAGGACAAATGAAGCCACAATGTGTCGTCTGTTTGAAAGTGCTGACTACAGAGTCTTTCAAAAATAATCAGCTGAAGAAACACTTGGACAATTTGCACTCACATCTGTCTTCCAAACCACGGGAATACTTTGAGAATTTGGAAAGAGCTGTCAAAAGGCAGAGATTGGATAGCAACAAGAGAGCAACATTTGATCAACGTTCAGCATCAAAAGCTAGCTTTGAAGTGGCCTGGTTGAT